TATTATTAAAATGTAGACAGCAAGCAGAGCTGTCAGCCTGGTATACTGAGCACACACATCCTCTGCCTTCTTAGAACCCCATTAAAATTATAGCAAGAGGGGGAAAAGGCATAATCCAATAAAACAAAGAGAATAGGAAGGGGCCATCTGTGGTCAAGAGATTTAAAGAAATTCCTGGAAAGCATTGAGCAGATGGATGTATATTGACTAAGAAGAGCTCCTTCCTGGATTACTGGCAGAGGAGGAGGCCCCGCCCCACGGAACAGCAGACCCTCTACCCAAAAGGATGTGGGAGAGAGAGGGATACACATAGGGGGCTTAACTGAGGGTCTTTAACTTCTCACCCAGTCCTCCTCTAGAAGCAGAATGGCAGGCAGCCCGGCGCATTTACCACTATGTGACTACATCTCTCAGCCCCCGGGGTCCAACCAAAACCAAAACCCAAACCAACAAACTGGGTAGAGTTAGGGACAGGGTTCTTCTCTAAAGAAATTGATTAAACTGTTTGGGGAGCACTAGAGCGATGAGAATTGTCCTGCACGAGAACTAAGCCTTCTTTCTGCCTTCTGAGTCCAACACCACTTTGCCCCAAAGGAAAGCCAGCGAGTCAAAAGACTGTCTGGACTTCCAGTTACATGTGTTGAATTAAACACATGCACTATTTTCATTCTCTCCTAAATGAGAGAATGAGCCCTTACTCGAGCTTACTTACCAACATGACAGTAAAGGAAAAATAAGATAAAATGGCAGGAAAGGAGTGAGAAAGCTAGAAACAGACAAAGAGAGTGAGAAAGGAGGCACGCATGGATGAGAGATGTCAACAAATGCCTAGGTGGAAAGCAACGGGAACCTAAGTAACTTAGGAAGAGTGAGCAGAAACATCAATGCCCATGTAAGGGACTGTTTCTTGGTGTAGGTAAATGGCTCCTTAGAAGATCTCAAGGAGGGGCGCCTGGGGGGCTCAGTCAGTTAAGCGTCTGCCTTCGGCTGGGGTCATGATCCCAGGGTCCTGGGGTCGGGCTCCCTGCTCAGCGGGGAGCCTGCTTCTCCTTCTCCCTGCCCATGCTCTCTTCTCACACTCTGTCTCTCTCTCTCTCAAATAAATAAAATCTTAAAAAAAAAAAAATCTCAAGGATTGGAAGCACCGGGTATCACAGAGGATGGAGCCTAAGTGTGGGGTGGAAACAGAGGACTTCTGTGGAAGACCGTACATGTAAGGAAGTTCGTTGCACCCGGTCTCTTTCCTGCCTTATAAGAAGAAACTACCTTTCCCACCCCTCACTCTCATAGGCTATTAGAGGTTTATTTTCAGGAAGACTAGAGTCAGAAAGTTTCAGACGTAGGGAGGGTGTTAGTGAGATGCCATCCTGGAAACAAGTGAACTAATTAAAAGGCTGCACGCTGAACAGAGACCCACACCCCCCTATCATCCTCCTTGCTGTTCTTCACCCGGTTCTGAGAAAGTCAGCCCCCAAGTTGGTAACCCTTAAGGCTATTTTAAAAAATATTCTTTTTAAACTTGAATGGCTTTAGAGAAATAATCCAAATATTTGGGAGTTCCTCACTGAGGAATCCAGCTCCCCCTCCCAAACACTACAGGGGGCTCCCCCACCCCAGCTTCCTGGCAGCTTGAGGGCGGCTCATCACTCAGTGGGCATGTGCCGCCAAGGATCACGAGATAGTTGAGGAGACCCTTCAACGCAAAGGGCAGAGATAAAACAAAGGAAACAGAGACAGTGCTCAATGTGGAGAAACACAACTTCAAAAGACTAGTTATCCTCAGAGAGAAAAATAGAAGAACTTGCAGCTAGGAAACAAGAACAGGATGCTATTTTTAAAAAAAGAAGAAGAAAAAGGAATCATCAGAGAACTCTTGAAAGTGAAAATGCGGTGGCCAAAATTTTAGCAAGGGAATCGTTGTCAGAGGAAATTTTCACGGAAGCCCAACTTAAAATAGATTGAAATGGTATTTTATTAGCACAAATGTACGTGAAAGCGTGTGTGGCTGGATCCTCGGGGGGGTGAAGGGCATGTTCTCACATCCCTCTCACGGCTGGTCCTGTTAATTTTGTTCTGCTTACATTCTGAATCCTTCTTTGGGATGTTGTTCCCATTTTTCTGCAAAGCCACTGGTGCGCGTGTTTGTTAATGTAATACCTCTGATACTGATAATATCTCTGAAGTTACATGCTTTCAGCTTCAAGTAAGAGAAACTCCTATTCAAACTGGTTTCATTTTTTTTTAAAGGCTTCATTTATTTGTCAGAGAGAGAGAGAGAGAGAGAGAGAGAGAGAGAGAGAAAACAAGCAGGGGGGAGGGGCAGAGGGCTTCCCGCTGAGCAAAGAGTCCGATGCGGGGCTCGATTCCAGGACCCCGGGATCATGACCTGAGCTGAAGGCAGACACTTAACCGACTGAGCCACCCAGGCGTCCCAAACTGGTTTCATTAAGATTTTATTTACTAGAGAGAGAGAAAGTGAGCACGTGAGAGAGCACAAAGAGGGGGAGGGGCAGAGGGTGAGGGAGAAGCAGACTTCCCACTGAGCAGGAGCTCCATGCAGGGCTGGAGCTGGATGAGGGGCTCAACGCGGGACTGATCTCAGGACGCTGGGATCATGACCTGAGCAGAAGGCAGAGGCTCAACCGACTGAGCCACCCAGGTGCCCCAAAACTGGTTTCATTAATGAAGATATTTATTATCTCACCAAACAGAAAGTGGTTTTCAGGGTTGGCAGATTCAGTGGTTGGAAAAGGAGCTGGGACTCTTGTATTACTTGATATCTTAAAAACCACGTGCATTTATCACTTTCATTTTCTTTTTTTTAAAGATTTTATTTATTTGACAGATAGAGACACAGTGAGAGAAAGAACACAAGCAGGGGGAGCGGGAGAGGGAGAAGCAGGCCTCCCGCCGAGCAGGGAGCCGGATGTGGGACTTGATCCCAGGACTCTGGGATCATGACCTGAGTCGAAGGCAGATGCCTAACGACTGAGCCACCCAGGCGCCCCTCGATCAACAATTTTTATATAGACCTCCTGTCCTGTCTGTGCATTTAAATGTGCTTATTAATGCATCATTGTTTAGGAAGGTCAAAGCTCTGCCCTGGCTTTTTAAGATTCCGGCCTGTCCATTCTTGTACAGTTGTGCAAGGGAGTATATCTCTACACACGTTAACCACACTCAAATGTCCAGCAAGACCCAGGTATTCGGTCACATGGTCTAGTCACAGCATAATGGCCAGTTATGTAATAAGGAGTGAAGAAATAAATTCAGAAGATAACAATTTGTGATTCCACTTTTTTTGTTGTTGTTGCTGTTTTGTTTTTCAAGATTTTATTTATTTGAGAGAGAGCATGAGAGAGAAAGCTCACAAGCAGGGGAGGGGGTAGAGATCCCACTTTGGGACTTGATCCCAGGACCCTGGGATCATGACCTGAGCCGAAGGCAGACACTTAGCCTACTGAGCCACCCAGGCGTCCTGTGATTCCACTTCGAAACAAACATTTCCTGCTACTCTTCTTTCAATTTTTGGCACTAAGTTTAACTGGAGAGTATCCTGAGATTGCAAGAGTAGGTGTTTTAAAATTTTGTCTAATTCACTATTATTTCACCCTATCAGTTTTCTTGATACTGTGCTGCAGCTGACCAAAAACTGCAAAAGTCATCCATGACTCCCAATGCCGCATTTGTATCAAAATAGCTTCATTTTATCATTTGCGTTTTTAGATACAGTTCCAAATATGTAACTGTATGAAACTAACATGTATTTGCACTAATGAAGTGCTGTTTTAATTATTTTACATTGAAATCCATAAAAATTCGTTAGACAAAATTCTGCTGCTGCTAAAATGTTTCATTACCATTCACCTACATTGTGCAAAATTAGGAAATATCCAGATTATGTCACAGAATCAGAATCTGAAAAGTAATCCATTTTTCCTGTGAAAAAAGATTTTTGAAAGCTTTATTTTATTCATTTAAGGATTTTATTTTTAAGCAGTCTCTACATCCAGTATGGGGCTCAAACCCACAACCCTGAGATCAAGAATCATACGCTCCACTGACTGAGCAGCCAGGCGCCCCTGAAATAACAGATTTTAAGGAGGGTGGTTGCCTGAGATGTTTAAAGTTGGGGTAATTTTACAAAACAAAATTTATTAGGATCTATAAAGTAAGCCAAAGTATATATGGCTCCTTCGAGTTAAATTAAAATGTAACTCATGTTCAAAGTTATGCATTACTTTTATAAAAAAAAATTAGTTCGCCTATTTGAAAATTCAAAATCAAACTGGCCTTCTACATTATATATTTTATGATTTTAACCATCTAAAAACTTCCTTTGCAAGAATGTAGTAGAAAAACAGGATTTAGAGTCAAAAGATGAAGTTGAATTCTAGTACCTGGGAAAGAAAATCCTCCTCAGGTCATTACCATCACATACAACCCCCTTACCGGAGTGGTGTGAAAAATAGAAGGAATCAATGGGATAGTACACGTGGATGTAGCAAACTACTGTAAAATGAGGGTTGACACCCTTTTTCTTAGGTTCTACTTCCCTGTCTTCGGATACCATCATGATCTTGGTTTCCCCGAGGTCCTACCCAAGTAACTATTGTGAAACTATTTTGCAGGTCTGAAGCAGTCATCCCAATGTAAAGAATCAACATGCAAACTCATCAGCCTTTCTAAATTATTCCAGCGATGCTGCAGTATTCTGTAAAGGACAGATGCCGACTGTAAGGAAGCAGATCACAGCCTCGAGCTGTTTCTGTTCCATCACGGTATGTCATTTTTCACAAGTGAAATGTGACGATGATGTACAGGTAATAGGATTGGAAGCTTTTCTAGTAGTTTTTCATGTATTTTTATTTATACTGTTAACAGTAAAACTCTTAAAAGATATTTTATGATTATATCACAGCAAGCAATTGTTTAATAGAACAAAGAAGATACGCTAAAAGGCAAGTGAATTAATTAAATATGCACAGCTGTCGACGTGTTTTTTTTTTTAATTTTATTTATTTATTTCAGAGATAGAGAGAATGAGAGATAGAAAGCACGAGAGGGAAGAGGGTCAGAGGGAGAAGCAGACTCCCCGCCGAGCAGGGAGCCCGATGTGGGACTCGATCCCGGGACTCCAGGATCATGACCTGAGCCGAAGGCAGTCGCTTAACCAACTGAGCCACCCAGGCGCCCTCGACGTGTTTCTTAAAACAAAGAGACTGAGGTATGTCCACTGGAGTCAGGCATTCTGGTACCACTCCTATTAGCCATTGGAATCAGATATTCACAATTCATGTGATCTTGAAGGTCTTGTTATATTTGAGAGGACTTTTTTCTTTTAGCCACTAGATTTTTCAGGAAAAATTCACCTATTTAGGAAAAATGAAAACATATTACTACCAATTTAACGTAAATTCAGAATTACACTTCAGTGTTTCCCTTCTATTTTTTAATTATTTTTTTAATGTTAAGGTCTACACCCAATGTGGAGCTTGAACTTGCAACCCTGAAATCAAGAGTTGCATGCTCTGCTGACTGAGCCAGCCAGGCACCCCATTAGCTTTATCTTTTTTTTTAAGTAAACTCTACCCCTAATGCTTACAAAAATTTTTTTATCACTACAGTCTCTGTTATTCTTTCTAGTAACTCAACATTTTAAAAGGGTAACCCTATCGTATCTACGTACTATTGTATTGTATGCTTTTGAACATTTATTCCACTTTATGTGCACTATCTATTCCTCACCACTGACAAAGTATTGCTGTTGGCACAATCCATTTCAGAGAGCAATTCTGCTACATTATTAGCCTGGATCTGATGTTTATAAAACAGACCTCATTGCAGTTGAGCAGACTCATCTGATGGAATCCCTTTAGCTTATTCCCCTCTAGGGAAGCAAGAGCTCTTCATTTATAATGGGCTTTCTCCCCACCCCCTCAGTTGTGCCTGAGCATTAAGATAGCTGCTCAGAGGGGGCACATTTCCTTTTCAGGTCATTAGGGTTCCATTTAGTCTCTCACTGTTACAGCACAGCTCAGTGCTTATTGGCAGAGCCCAGCACCGCAGGCCTGGTTTTATGAGTCTGGTGAACTTTGCTATGTCATCTTATATACACGTATAACTGCAATGATCATATGTGTACCACAACCACTAAGAATCCCAAGGTTCACAACCCAGCCAAGTAATGGAGAGTTATCCATGCTCCTCTAGACCTTATCTAAATCTGGCAGGAGCAGAACCAACATTACCAGACCCTAACCCATCATCTGAGTCTAATGCTCTACATAGTAGATCTTTTATTAGTAACTTTAAAAGCATTAAAAAGTTCATAATTCACTTTCTTATAAATGTTAAAAGTTTTCCTTAAAAAACAAAATAAAAACTCCTTGCAGGTGATTTTACTTTACTCTAACCACTCTGGAAGCTGATGTTAGTTCTATTCTTTACAGAGGTTTTCAGCTTGCCAGCAGAATTCTTCTTGCTTGAAGAATCACTTTATTGGCTTCCAAAGCCTCCACATCCTGTGAGTCAGTGTTGAATCAAAGTCTTGGGTTTTATAACTAGGATAAGCTGTTGTTAGTTCATTGAAATGTCCTGAATTTCTTTATAGGAACACACTGAACATCACTAATACATGAACATTAGTTTTTACCAATAGAATGCATGCCTAATTTAAATATATCCATGATTTAAACCCAATATATAACACAATCATCTAAAAGATCATTTACAGTAATCATGTAGTTTGGATTGATCCAAAAATAACTGCTTATTCTTCAAGATATTGTAATTGTTATGTCCAACTGACAGGGAAAACATAAACATTTTTTGGATTAAATTCAGGCTTCAGATATGTTCTCATAGACTTTTTGATGGCCATTATCACATGACTTTTTATCCCTTGGAAAAGGCTTTTCTTTTCATAAGTCAGCTCAAGCTATTGATCAAAATAAGAGCTGAAATTACAAAGGTGAAGAACTGCAGTGTAGCTAGTAAAAACAGTAACAATTTCTATAAGGAAAATAACCTTACGAATTTTTTTCCCCGTTGCCTCTGGGAGGAAAACCACAGAGATATTAAGAGAAACAGCAATGCAGTCAAACAGCTACTTCTCAGGATTTAAACTGATCTGAAATTAGGAGTTTAGAGATGCAGCAGGCATGACAGCGAATGAATACACATTTTTCAGAAAAACCACATTATATACTTAACTGGTATTTGTCACTTCTGAATAACCTACTATTGAAATCCACACAAAGAATAAGCTGATTCCTCCTGCTTTCGTCACAGTAGCTGAGCTAGAAAGGGGGAGCGGATTCTTTATTTAAAGAAAAAAACAGGCTTAAGAGAAATTTTTCCTTAACATGTCCTCTATGGAGCAAAGTTCCTAAGGAAGTTCCAGAAAAAAACTTATTTTTTCCTACAAAAGGCAACCACAGCTATTATAAATTTAACATGGAAAGTTATGGTCTAAATAAAACCATGCCCTGCAGTCTAACTTACCTGCTTTATATGAAGAACGCACCAGAGGGCCACTAGCAGTGTAATGAAATCCAAGTTCATTTCCTACTTTTTCCCAGTATTTGAACTTTTCAGGAGTAATGTATTCGTCAACCTACATTTAAAGAATTCATTCAGATAAATATTAGAATTTCCCTAAATCATTGTGATTCTGTAGAAAATCTATGCTCATGCATTCAGGATGGTTTTCACTTCAGAATTTACCCAGTTGCCCAGAGGCTTTTCTCCTCTCCTTCCGCACAGACGACCTGTCTACTGGTTACTGGGCCCCTCTATCAGTACTCGATCACGGGGAATTAGAGAGGAGGGAAAACATCAATTTTGTAGTACATTAACTATTCCAAAAGATGAGAAAGACGAGATTATCTATAGAGATTACATATCTGTATTACTCCTTCACTGACTAACAGGTATAATCAAGAATTAATCACATCTCTAAGGTTCGTGAGGACCAGACTTCCATGTCTTGTCTCGTCTTTGGTGCTCAGCCCTGTGTCTGGCACACAGTCACTACTCGACAAAAGGTTCTTGAACGAACGAATGTCCAATACAGAAATAAGAAGACTGACTTTTCCTTTTTACTTCACCTCTGGCTCTCATGTCACTCTAAAACAAATCACAAGATGACCAAGTGTGAATGAATGCCATTTCCCAACTATTTAATTCTTTTCCTGTACATTCACTGAAGTCGTACAATTTTCAGGGCAGCAAAAAAAGTGCCAGTATATCTGTTGGCTTTATGCAGATAATAAAAAGGAAACTGGGACTTGGAAATATACAGGGAACATTACAGTAGAAAGTCAGCAGCTTCTTAATTGTACCTATGGACGACAAAGATCTAATTCAAATTACCAGTGAACGTTCGGTAATTCAAGATAGCAATACCTTAAGGTGGCGCTTTGTTGGTTGCATATATTGTCCTAAAGTCAAACAGTCCACATCGGCTTCACGAAGTGCTGTAGAAAAAAGGCACACATTACATTAACAGATTGTTTTTAAAGATTTCTTAACTTAGAAAAAAAATTTATTTTTAACTAATCGCTACACCCAAAAGGGGGTACGAACTTATGATCCCGAGATCCAGAGTTGCATGCTCTATAGACTGGGCCAGCCAGGCGCCCCAAGATTTTTTTATTTTTAAGTAATCTCTACACCCAAGGTGGGACTCAAACTCAGAACCCTGAGATCAAGAGTCATATGCTCCACAGACTGAGGAAGCCAGACGCTCCATTGGCAGATGTTTTTATGATGCTGTAATTGTAGATTTAAGCATAATTTCCCTGGGCATAATTTTACTGCAGAACAGTGTGAATTTTACACTGTCCCAAAACCCTGATGTTGGGGAGTAAGACTATATCTATCCATTTAAAAGTGCCAGGGAATATGAAAAGGATTGGAAACATAGGAATGAGTAAGACAGTCATGAGGGGCTGACAGAAAGAAGGACAAATAACTCTAATACTATGGAATAAATGCTAAAATATGGGTTAAGGGTACTTCGAGCAGGAGTCTGTTGGGCAGAAAAGAGGAAGGGAATGGTATACAAAAGGCCTGAAATCACTCATATTATAGACCAGACATGATATACTCAGTTTTAGTACCTGTGCAAGATATGCTTGGAGGATGTGATTTGACCTCTCATGTATCGGAATCTTTCTAGTACAACTGTAATTTTACTCTAGTAAAGAGGAGCTTTTTTTTTTTTTAAAGATTTTTTATTTATTTATTTGACAGAGACAGCGAGAGAGGGAACACAAGCAGGGGGAGTGGGAGAGGGAGAAGCAGGCTTCCCGTCGAGCAGGGAGCCCGATGCGGGGCTCGATCCCAGGTCCCTGGGATTATGACCTGAGCCGAAGGTAGGCACCCAACGACTGAGCCACCCAGGTGCCCCAAGAGGAGCCTTTAATTACTATTTGCACTTGTTACTCTTAGAACCAATAAATAACTGCAAGTAGGCAAAGGATCCTCATGTAAATAACAGGGTTTTTTTTGTCTTTGTTTTGTTTTGTTTTTTACAATTTATAAAGCCCAAGAATCATAAAGCAGATGGGGTTATGAGACTAAGATTCAGCAAAGTCCAAAGCACATCATATTATGTGACGTTACCAGTAAGCTCTTCCTCAAAGGCCTGGCTTCATCTTATTCAACTTGTCACTGCCTGTCAGAGCTCCTGGTACCTGGCGGGCTCTTAAAACTATGCAATAACTAAATAAGAAATCTGGATAAAATATTATTTTCACTTGATTAAAGGGTACGGAATAAAATGGGATACAAATTTCATATCCTTTCTGCATAACATTCCATAGTGTTCTAAGAAAACATACTTCTGGGCGCCTGGGTGGCTCAGTCAGTTAAGCGTCTGCCTTCAGCTCAGGTCATGATCCCAGGGTCCTGGGATCAAGTCCGTGTTGTGCTCCCTGAGCAGCGGGGAGTCTGCTTCTCCCTTTCCCCACTCTCCCTCTGTGCTTTCCCTCTGACAAATAAATAAATAAAATCTTTAAAAAAAGAAAACTACTTCCTTACTTTTTATGCTGCTATTATAATCATATTCTGTACTTTGTTCTTATTGGCACTTTCGCTGAGACTATGGAGGAAGCATAACACGGCCTTCAAAATGGAGTTCCTGCTATTACTCAAATTAAATGAAAAAGAGTTTTCATTTTCCAATTTCTTTACCTTTCATTGTTGCATATATTTGCTCATCATTTTCGCCTAAGCCCAACATTATAGATGTTTTAGAAATCACACCAGGCCGAACCTCCTTGGCGTGTTTCAGTACGCGCAGAGACTGGTTGAAATTGGCCCGGGGATCACGAACTTTCCTTGAAAACAGCAGGGCTGTTGTCAGCAAGAATAACCACAAGCTCAACTGAGTACATAGTTATGCAAGCAAGTTAAAAGACCGGGAAAGGACATTCTGGACATTATATTACATCATGTCGCTCAATCCTAGCATTTGTGCACAAATATCTAGCTGTGACTTTTGTGAAGAAAATCAGGCTTCACTGGGCCCCGTAGTTCTGTCTACCTTTAAAGCCTTTCAAGCCCAGGGCAGAGAAAACTAGAATGGAAGTAATTCGGTTTATGAATTACTCATTGAGAAACCAAAATTCGAAGCCGAGAATGAGTGATTGTAAGGGATAGTCAAGAGAGAAGAGAAAAAAGAGTGGAAGAAAATCTCAATACCGAACAAAGGAAAAACTGTTTAACATGTACCCACATTTCAGAGGTCTGAAACTTTTATGTTCAGTTCTTTTCTAAAGACCAAGCTGCCCTCTGCTGGTCAGTATACGACACTGACATCTCTTAGGTAAAAATGCATGGTTCTGGAATTTTCACTGGAAAGGATAATGTTTCTTATGTGAAACCAGGGAAATTGGCACCCACTGGTGGTAGTATCATGAGAAATGACAGCGCTGGAATAGGCCGTGTGTCAGACTTCAACAGCAGCCAAACCACCACGTTTTAAATGGCGAGAAGGCCAAAAGGAAGGAGTTGCTTCTCAGCTGACGTTAATCCAGTATATGTCTGAATCCTAATGCACCTTTATTTTGTGTAACTGACTTGCTGTTATTTTTAATCAGAGACCAGTTCACAGGAAGAAAGGAAACCAATTTGTGAATTTAAAAATAACCACAAAACCCGACAATACCAAACATAACTACTCTAGAAAGTATTTCTCCATTGGCTTTGTTATGCTCCCTAATGTTTATGATTTAGTGGAAAGGCTGGTTATTGTTTATCATACTTTTTTCAAGTTCTATAATACAGATAATGTGTAGCAGCTATTAAGATCACTGCCAAATATACTTTACTAAAATTAAATAAACACGTTAATCTTGCCTGAAGGTTAAATTTTCATCTTTCTGAAATATGAATATGATCATTAATGTGGCATAACAATCTGTAAAGTTTCCTATTAACGTTATTAGAAAGAATAGTACCTACCTTTTAAGAGATGGAAGATACATCTGAAAGATAAGTGTTCCTTTTGTATCACTTATTGCATATTTTAGTGCCAAATGTATTTTTTTTTTAAGATTTTACTTCTTTATTTGACAGAGAGAGACACAATGAGAGAGGGAACACAAGCAGGGGGAATGGGAGAGGGAGAAGCAGGCTTCCCGCGGAGCAGGGAGCCCGATGCAGGGCTCGATCCCAGGACCCTGGGATCATGACCTAAGCTGAAAAACGACTGAGCCACCCAGGCGTCCCCAGTGCCAAATGTATTTTTAAAAATCTTTTCTTGGGACGCTTGGGTGGCTCAGTTGGTTATGCAACTGTCTTTGGCTCAGGTCATGATCCTGGAGTCCTGGGATTGAGCCCCACATCGGGCTCCCTGCTCAGCGGGGAGTCTGCTTCTCCCTCTGACCTTTCCCCATCTTGTGCTTTCTCTCACTCTCTCTCAAATAAATAAATAAATAAATAAATAAATAAATAAATATTTTAAAAGTCTTTTCTTTTTAGAATTACAATCATTCTTTGAAAAAATAACTCATCGGCACTTGGCAGTATGATACTATTTAAAAAAAAAAAAGATGCTCATGATGTATATGTGCACCAAAACATACACACATGCACATAAATATATACACTTAGGTTATGGTAATTGATATTACTGGGTGGAAATATTACGGGTGATGCTTATGCTCTTTTTGTTGGCTACATTTTCTGATTTTTCTATAATACGTATATGTTGCTTTTGTTAAGAAAAGAAACAGAGCTCATTTTGTAAAAGTCAAATAGAAAGTTCTCCCCTGCAAAACATGAGAGAAGATAGCAGATTCTGGCCCTCCAAACTTGCCAATGTGACTCTGTACATGAAATCACCTCTGTAATTCTGGAACTGTTTCTACATTATGTGCATACACATCCAATCCTGACAGAGCAACTTTTTCTATTGCTTTTAGATCTCCTCTGAAATCAGGGGTGAGACATTCCACAAGAATTTTTGGATTCCTATGAGGGAAAAAAAATAAGTATCAAACTGAGGCAAAGAATTCACATAACTATTGCTCAAAACAGAAATTACCAGTACTCGTTTGGTATCAGTTTCAACACAGTTATCTTTAGAATCTTGCCAATCTGGGAATCATGCTTTAGAAAGCATGAACATACAAATGTTCATATATAAACTGTTATATGAAAAACAAAACAAAAAAAACCCTGAACATCAAATATTACATACATAGCAGTTACAACAGATCTGCTTGCAAATAATGATCAGAAAAAATTTTGAGATTAATAGATTTATACTTTATTGAGCAGTATTAAGTTGCTCGGGCGCCTGGGTGGCTCAGTTGGTTAAGTGACTGCCTTCAGCTCAGGTCATGATCCTGGAGTCCTGGGATTGAGTCCCACATCAGGCTCCCTGTTTAGTGGGGGGTCTGCTTCTCCCTCTGACCCTCCCCCTCTCATTCTCTCTCACATAAATAAATAAAATCTTAAAAAATAAATAAAGAAAAGAAAGTTGCTTAAAAGAATTCAAATATAAACATTAAAACATGAAATATAAAATATTTTTTTATTCTTTGGAAAGTAAATTGGGACAATTCTTTTTTTTAAAGATTTTATTTATTTATGTGAGAGAGAGAGAATGAGAGACAGAGAGCACGAGAGGGAAGAGGGTCAGAGGGAGAAGCAGACTCCCCGCTGAGCAGGGAGCCCGATGTGGGACTCGATCCCGGGACTCCAGGATCATGACCTGAGCCGAAGGCAGCCGCTCAACCAACTGAGCCACCCAGGCGCCCCTACATTGGGACAATTCTTATGTGAATGCAAATAGTATTTGATTGCTTTAATTCTGATTTCTTTAAAAATTCATCAAATAGTGACATCCTCCTTTCCTCAGGCAAATATTTCACAAGTGCTGTGGGTTTTAAAAACTGTTTTCTGAGTTGCTGAGTCATAAGCTTTGCTTAAATGAAATACAAGTTAAACATTAATCTTCTTATTTATATTCTGGCTATATCTATGCATTCAAGCATTAAAATGTGAACTAGGTCATAGTGCTGTTCCCTCTGACAGCAGTAGAAATGACTAGGACAGCTGATAAATTTTTTCACAAACCCAATGGCAAAGTTTCTGGACCTGTTTCCTGAGAGAACAGATGTAAAAAGGACCACATACATACCCTCTCATAAGATAAAAGAAAGGTTGAAAGAACATAGCTTATAACTCACTGTTTTTTTAATTGTAAAGGTGAGACACATCACCTTTGTTTGTGAAGTCAATTTAGTGGGTTGCAACAGAACTTTTTAAAGTAAACTATTAAATAAAATAGAAAACACTAGGGGAATCATTAAAAAAAGGATCTACTAAGTGCTAGGTGCTCAACTAGCACTAAGCTGTACGAAGCAAGCATAACTCCTTTTTTAATGCTTTTTAAATAGATGGAACTGAATATTAATAAAATGTGGATCATGGGTAAATTTCCCAGGGCATATGAATATGGATAAAATCTATATCAAGCATTGCATACTTTAACAATGTGGGAGCTTATCTCATTCTATATACTTCTAGATGATGATTTATTCAAAATTAGTGCCGGGAAGACTGCAGTGTTATACATCTCTTAAAAATTACTCAAAGTTTAAACTGACACTCAAATATGAAGGACAGGTTCTATGGCCTAAAGGTCCGTTAAGTCTTTGCTGCTGAATCCCTAAAATTTTATGCAAATATGTATCTGTATGTTTGAATATACTTTTTCTGGAGAAAAGACCACATAATTTCCAGGAGGTTATCAGAAGGGTTTATAATCCCCTAAAAGGTTAATAACCTCTGCTTTAAGGTAAACACCTTAAAGAAACTGAATTTATATGGGCTAAAAAAAAGTCCTCAAATTACACAAGCAAATGCAAAAACAAGTACCTTTCCTTTAAGTATGATACAGTCTTTGCAAAATGCTCAGCTCCTCCATCAGGCAAATCTAGAAACAAAAGAGTCCACTGCTCAAGATGATGTCACAACTTATTAAGGGCCAATTTCTGGAAGAGGCAATGATGACGCACTAACCATCTCGATCCACAGATGTCAAGACAACATAATCCAGACCCCACTCTGCAATTGCCTTTGCAGTATTGTAGGGCTCACTGGCATCCAGTGGAGGCGGATTTCTTGCAGTTTTCACAGAACAAAATCTGCAACCTCTTGTACATGTGTCACCCATCAACTAGAACAGAAATGTTATAATTTAAATCACATAGATGGATGACCCGAAAGAACATATGCTGACAGAATAAAGCAAGTTACGAAAAATGAATATAGTTTGATTTTGCTTATAGGAAATTTGAAACATTCAAAGGTAAACAAAATACAGTTAAGAAATACAAATATATGTAATAAAACTGGAAAGAAAAGAAAATGTATGGGGTGCCTGGGTGGGTCAGTTGTTAAGCGTCTGCCTTCAGCTCAGGTCATGATGCAGGGTCCTGGGATCGAGCCCCATCATCGGGCTCCCTGCTTGGCAGGAAGCCTGCTTCTCCCTCTCCCACTCCTCTTGCTTGTGTTCCCTCTCTCACTGACTCTCTCTCTGTTAAAAAATAAATAAAATCCTAAAAAAAAAAAAAGAAAAGGAAATGGTAAGCTCAGGATTAAAAATGGTGTTAAAGGAGGGGCGCCTGGGTGGTTCAGTTGGTTCAGCTCAGGTATTGATCTCAGGGTCAAGAGTTCAAGCTGCATGCTGGGTTCCATGCTGGGTGTGAAGCCTACTAAAAAAAAAAGTTAAAGGAAAAAAAAAAGGTGATGCGATCAGGAAAGGATGTACAGGGAGGTTCAAAGATAATATTAATGTTCTACTCTCAAACTGGAGGTATCAGGCTGTCAACTATACTGTTACTCTTTAAAACCTACATATAGTTTATAAAGATTCTTTTGTACCTATTTGATATTAATAAAAGTGATTTTATTTTTTTAATGATTTTAAAGGAAATAAAATATTCAATTAACATATCAACATGTAGGTCTCTGTAGGAGTTAAACAGAAGGTGCAGCTCCTTGTTAAATAGATGAAACAGAAAACACATAAAATCTGCTTCCTTTGGCTTATTCTTCAGGACACTGCTTCTGCTGCTACAGGTAACTACCATGTTCTGGCTCCTGCCAAGCATAGCCATTGCAGATGTTCTGGGGCCACTGGAGTTTCAAACCTGCAAAGTGATGGGTTGAGATTTTGGAGGAAAAAGCTCCTCTTTATGTTTAATGCCCACCCCCCCGGGGGAGGGGGGTGAACTCATTTCTATGGTCCCAACATCCCATAGGGATTTACTGAAACAATGAACTCTTCCCAGAAACCAGTCATGAGTCAGTGGGGAAGGGCCAGGCAAGGGATGAAACCAGAGATTTCCATCATGGAGTGTTCAAAATCACTCCTTCCTTCAAGAACTGAGGTTCTATAACTTGGATAAGCTCTGCAGCCGGCTCCATTTCATAAGAATCCTTGGTTCCTCAGGTAAACAGCCTCCTACTGGTACAACACAGACATTCCCAGACAAGTATGAACTTTCAGTTGCACACAATTAGATTTAACCCCAATACCTCAATCTCTAAGCCCCTATGGATAAATACGGTAGTGTGCACAGTTAATACCAATTCTGACTCCACCATATTAAGATTATACATCTCACTCTTTTTCATTTAACTTTCAGGGCCCTCCTACTGAGGAGGGGGGAGCTTATATCTCTACATCCACTGCTGTTCGGCTTGGCCATGTGATTTACTTTGGCCAACAGGATGAGAGCAGGCATGACCAAGCAGAGGCCTCAAGTGTGCATGGATGGTTTGCTTGCTCTCTGGTGCTTTCCATTCTTCATGATAAGAATATGGCTTGGAGACCTGCTGGTCTAAGGAGAATAAAGCTCTGTGGAGCAGACCTGGACCCTGAGACCTCAACCTACTTCCTGCAGTCCATTTTCAGCCCCCTTCAGTTGCCTCAAGTACCCCAGGCAACTGAAGGGCCATGAGAGAGAAAAATAAATGCTTATTATTGTTTAAGGGGAAAAAGTTAAGCAATCATGAATAACATTTCCAAAAATTAACAGAAGAGGTATCTCAATGCAGCACATGATTAACTGTCACATACATGGAAAAATCAGTAATAGATTTATTCAGAGAAGGATGAGAGCGTATCAGCCTAGATTATTTTGTCAGGTTTTTTCTCTCATATTTCTCATAAATTCATATGTAACAAAAAATCTGGCCAGAGATTCAGAGTGCACATTTTTAGGAGAAAGACGTAAAATATCCCTTTCAGTTTCTAGACTAAAACTCTATTGGCTGAGGTTGTTCTTACCATGATTGTGGCTGTGGCAGTGGCGTACTCCCCACCTCCCCAACATTCCCCAATGTTGGGACATCGAGCTTCCTCACACACCTGTGAGTAAAAAGGAATGGAATACAATCAAGTTGAAAATATTAACCAACTGAGCAAATTAGTCATCAGGCATTTTAAACTGTCCATTCTTTACAATGTATTTATGAAGAAAGTCACTATTCAAAAATGCTGTTAAACTGTCAAACTGTATATATATTAGGATCCCATTTTTAAATTAAAAACAATAAGAATGGATATATTTTATACGTGCAAAGAAGGTCTGGATGGAAATATGCTAAAAAATAAAAATGGTGTAGTTAACGTTTGCAATTGCATATATTATGCTTCACATTTAACATTATATTCTTTCCAATAAGCATGTATTTAATTTGTAATATAAAACATAGAAAAAACCTCTCATCTCCTACGTTGCAGGGGAAAAAAATCTTTTTTTGTACTATTAAGTGTGAAATTAAGAAATATTAATTACCTTTTGTTTCTTTTGCAAGGAAAATGATTTAAAAAATTTTTTTTTAAGATTTTACTTATTTGTCAGAGAGAGAGAGAGGGGAGAGCGAGTGCACGCACAAGGAGGGGGAGCAGCAGGCAGAGGGAGAAGCAGGCTCCCTGCTGAGCCTGGAGCCTGATGTCAGATTCGATCCCAGGATCCTGGAATCATGACCTGAGCTGAAGGCAGACACTCAACCGACTGGGCCACCCAGTCGTCCCTAAAAAAAAATTTTTTTAATTTTAATTTTAAGTAATCTCTACACCCAACATGGGGTTTGAATTCACAATCTCAAGATCAAGAGTTGCATGCTCTACCGACTGGGCCAGCCAGATGCCCCGGGAAAATGATTTTTAAATGTATTTCCAGGGGCACCTGGGTGGCTCAGATGGTTAAGCGTCTGCCTTTGGCTCAGGTCATGATCCCAAGGTCCTGGGATCAAGTCCCAGATCGGGCTCCTGGCTCAGCGGGGAGCCTGCTTTTCCCTCTGTGTCTCCCCATGCTCATGCTCTCTCTCTGTACCTCTGTGTCTCAAATGAACAAACAAAATCTCTTAAAAAAATGCATTTCCATTACTGATAATAATGCATCCCTAAACATCTTTATTCACTTTCCTTGCTGTTTTTGATATGTGTTTTATTAAATTTTAAGTTACACATATGCAGAAACACTACAACTTTTAATTAAGAGGGACATTTAACACTTTGAAACTTACTGTATGGAGATTCAAATTCCGCAATGTATTTTTAAGTTTATTGTAATTCTTCCCCATGGGAATCTCTGTCTTTAGCCAAGGAGGTAGTCTTAACCTGAGGAAAGCCAAACATAACTATCCATTAACAAATATGTTCCCAAATAATCACACAGCTTTGAAGTTACTTTGCTCTGTAACAATTCTTAGTGCAGAGTTTTTTTTCCATAATCCTGGGGTTAACTCTTACAATTTCTGTCATAAGAACAGAGACTCAAATTTAGGTTTGTTCAAACCACTTCAGAAAACCCTCGTAATCGTGTCTAACAGAGCACTATGCTCATGTCTACCTTTTGCAAAGTCACAAAGTAATGCTATCTTAATGAAAGAATGAGGAAGTTTTTGAATATCTCATTCCCCAGTGAATAATACTGACAAAAGTTATCTATTTGTTCAGAGAAAGGAGAGATCCCACAAGTGTTCTTTCTGCTCTACATTCCAAATTTATGACGGTTATTAAATGAAAAAAAAATCTAAACGTTGGAGTGAAGACTATGTATCCTCAGGTTCCCCCTGACTTACATCCACTTGTGAACTAGAAGTTGTTGGGTAAGGTATCTCCCAAAACAATTTGTCTTCTCTGCAAAATTCCCTCATCATTCTTTTGAATTAAGGCAAAGTATCCATAGGTCATACGTACATTGAATAGGAGAAGCAACAAGTTAGATCATCAATACCCAGTAACAATGAAAAATTTATCAAGATCAAATCGACTAGAAGCAAGGTGATGTTTGTTCTCTGAAGAAATTTTATGCTGAATGCACAAAGGGAGATGGTAGTATAGGATGGGTAAGTCCTAGGAAGACTGAAGAAAAACTGTCAAGAGGATTCCAACAATTTCAGCTATTTACCTGTTCTATGTCTGTTATCTCTCTCTCTCTCTTTCTCTTTTTTTATTAACATATAATGCATTATTTGTTTCAGGGGTACAGGTCTGTGATTCATCAGTCTTACACAACATACAGCGCTCACAACAACATACCCTCCCTAATGTCCAGCACCCAGCCACCCCATCCCTCCCACCCCCTCCACTCCAGCAACCCTCAGTTTGTTTCCTAAGATTAAGAGTCACTTATGGTTTGTCTCCCTCTCTGGTTTCATCTTGTTTCATTTTTTCCTCTCTTCCCCTATGATCCTCTGCCTTGTTTCTCAAATTCCACATATCAGTAAGATCATACGATAATTGTCTCTCTGATTGACTTATTTCACTAGCATAATACCCTCTAGTTCCATCCACGTTGTTGTAAATGGCTGTTATCACTTCTTTCTAATGATTTTTAGCTAAATATACCAAGTCTGATTAAAATTATAATTTGGGCTTGGTTATATCTGAAAATAATGCACAATGAAGGAATTTATCTCAAAATTTCAATTACCTTTCTCCTTTCTGGCGTTTTAAGTTTCCTTTATACTCATCCCACTTGCTCTTGTCCGCAAGATCACCAGATACAAAATCTTGAAGGTCTGGTCCATTTTGTAAGAATTCTTTTTTTTTATCTGGCAAGGAACTTACTGCTCTGACTGGACTGCATAAATATCTTCCAAATACCTAAAGACAGAGTTCGGTAAGACATGTATATAGTGGGGTTTGAAATAACTTAGTTTTAACCTATTTAAATACCTAAAAAGAGAGAGTAAAACCATAGAACTGATAGAGAAATTATACTGAACAATTTTCAAGCTCTGTGTAGGAGCTCAGAATCTAGGATTAAAGTCTCTTTTTAAGAACAAACGAAACCTAAAAGAGAATGGGAGCTAAATGTTTACTGCTAGAGGTACAATAGATTTGGAAACCTTTGGACCTGGCTCACATATGTCACACTTTCATGTAACCCACTTAACTACTAAAAGTCTGTCTTTCATAAAGTTTAAACTGCAATAACGAGATGCCACAGCTTTCAATTTTCCACTCCTGAGTTGAGTCAAGGACGTTTAAAAGGAAATTTGCAGTAAGTCTCTCTTATTTGGGCTTTGGATAGACATAGGTGTTAAAATGTAGAGGTAATGCTCAGTTGGTTTCAGAGAACTGAAAGGAGGGAAACCAAACCTAATGTTTTAATTTTCTATATTACATTCTATGTTTGAACACGGTAGTCACTCAATATACATTTGCTGACCGTAAGAAACCACTGGCTTCTAGATCTGAACACAAACGTGTACGATAGCCAAAACACTAAAATTCACGAGTCAGTACATGCAACGCAAGAGAACCTTCAACAATTAAAAAAGAGTGCCTGTTAGGGTGCTGCGGGACTGCTACTGCATTTGATCACTCTGCCGCTAAAGGTAGAGCACAGGTTTTTGTTCTCATAGCCCAGACTGGTGTCTAGTACAAAGTAAGAGCCCATCACAAGTAGGAATTTGGCGTGCTCAACGCAGTGCTCCTATAATGCTCCAACTAATACAGGGTTCAGATCACTCTGACAGCAGGAAAAAAAGCCCTCATCACCTGCCAGAGACCTACAAACCAATACCAGAGACTCTACCCGATCGTGTGTCGGGAGAATTAAATGAGATACTACATGAAAAATGTTAGATCAGCGCCTAGCTAAAAGTCAACGCTCAGTAAGTGCTGGCCTTATTATTGGGCGCTCTGAAGAGATGGGAGCCCTTCCACCCCGGCCCGCACCCTGCTCGCCCCGCCGCTCACCCAGGGCCCCACGGCGCAGGCGGCGCCCCCGCAGCGCAGAGACATCCCTCTCTTTTTTTTCTAGCAGGGTCGAGGGATCGCTAATTCCCGGGAAAGACAGCTCTACAAACCGTCGCTCGGCTTATGACAAGGCACCTGAGCCACCACTGACCCTGCGGGACTTGAGCTGCTCCGCGATTGGCTGCTTTCGCCTGGTGGTGTCGCGCGCTCATAACGTCATACGCAGGGGCCTTACGGCCTACAAGAACGTGATGACGAAAAACGTTCTCTCTTTGCCGCATCTACTGCGAGGTGAGGTTGATTCTTAACTTTGTGGGTTCTGGGAATCTGAAGCCATCGGCTCGGGGAAAGTCACGGGCGGGAGTCTGGCGCTCGGAGCGTCTATGTTGGTTGTTCCCCAGCGTGGCGAGCGCCATATGGATCTGGTGGCCCTGGGATTCGAGCGCTGTATTGGACTTGTTGGCCTACCCCCGCCCCTCAGCCTTGCCGGGCTGGCGCCGCCGTAATAGGGCTGCTAGGGTTGCGCCGGGCGGGAGTTCGCCGGTTGTGCTCATAATACCTGCTTAGGAGCTGCTCTTTCCAGGCCGGGACTCAGCGGGGGCTGCTCTCCCGGTGGGTGTTCCTGTGTCTGCCCCCGGGTTTCTGCTTGCCAGGCTCCCGGAGGAGTGGAGCTCCGCGCAGGGTAGTGCGGCCGCAAACGGGGGCCGCGCCGGCCTCGTAACCCCAGGTGTTTGTGTTTCAGAATGAAGACCATTCTCAGCAATCAGACTGTCGACATTCCAGAAAATGGTATGAGACCTGATGTTTATGTTCTTACGTCTTTACTGCCTGCTTTGTACCTTGTTCCGAGGCCTCACAAATACGTTCTCTCGTAGTCGACATCACTCTGAAGGGACGCACAGTTATTGTGAAGGGACCCAGAGGAACCCTGCGAAGGGACTTCAATCACATCAATGTAGAACTCAGTCTTCTTGGAAAGAAAAAGAAGAGGGTGAGATACGGGTTTTTTTTTTTTTTTTTTTGACGCATTCATTGTTTCTTTGGAAGGTACTGATTTAATAGCACCGAATTTGGTTGCTGTAGGAATTAATAGAATTGACGGTCAGTGTTTTAGCTTAAAATTGGGTGTCCAAAAGTGGAGCTAGTTTTGGTGGTACTGCTTTAGTGAAGTTGGGAAAACAAATTCTGAATAGATTATAAACCTCAGTATTAGTACCAAAGTCGTCATTAGCGTCAGGGTTATATACTGTTCATACTGTATATAGACAAGTGAAGTATGATGCAACTTGAAAAATCAGTATTTCTGGGTTGACATTCCGTTGTGAAATGGGTCCTGTGATGTATAGTAGTAAAAAGTAATAATTGAGGGCTTTATATGTGGTTGCTTTAATTAGGGCTAATAGTTGAATCTAGAGTAATTCCATGAATAAGTGGATTTTTCTTTTCAAGCCGAGTTATTACTGGAAAGAATTATATGAAGTTTTTGTTCCGTTACAGCTCCGAGTTGACAAATGGTGGGGAAATAGAAAAGAGCTGGCTACTGTTCGCACTATCTGTAGTCATGTACAGAACACGATCAAGGGCGTTACACTGGTAAGCAGATTGATCAGACTGCTTCGTTTTGGAAGGGGAAGTTTTTCAGCTGTAATGTATATATGCAACATAAATGTCTACTGCAGAACATAGATTATGCCTGTAATTTATTGAGGTAGTTGGGAAAGGTGATCTTGGCAGTTTATAATGGGCATCCGTGGGTCTTTAAGATTAAGTGATAAATGTGAGTAAAGACCATATGGTCTTAATACTAGACTGATGGTGGGTTTTTTTTTTTTCCACACAAAATTCACAGCTTCAGGATGTGTGGTGTTGAGGTTTTTTGTTTGTTTTTTAAAAGAAAATGTAGCACATAGGGTAGGCTTTGATTTCTTGTTGGCATGCTGCTCCTTGAAGGCAAAGAAAAAGCTGGATCTCCTTTCTGTGCTCCTTGTCTACTTCCCTAAAAGCATATTTGATGTCACTATTCTCTTTACAACTCCCTCTCCCCCCCAGCCTTTAAGATAAAGTTCATGCTGCTGTGTCTTTGCTGAAATGCTTTTCTTTGCATTAAAAGTCAGTCCTTTCAGAGTGCACCTCATAATGGCACCCTTCAACTCCATTATAAGCCTGTTGGGTCATGTTTCCCCTATTTACCCTTGCTACCAGGCTAAGTTCCTTGAGGGAGAGGGCCTGTCTGAATTCTTGTCATTTGGTATACCTTAGTAACTCAGTAAATGTTAGTCCAGTGTCCAAGATGAAGGGCTTTGGGGTTCTCATTTTTAAAAGCTGGCATTGTTTACTGTGGTCATAGGAAATAGTAAAATAAATGCTTTCTTAAACAGCCTGTGAAAAGAGTCAAGCATGTTTATACAATTTGGAAGGTTTGGTGCAGGTGTCCGTTGTTACAGAATCTTGACAATGAGTGCTATGTGAGGACTGTTTCATTTTTAAATTATAAATAATGTAAGCATCCTACAAAATTTGAAAACTGGATTTGTCAAATTGCTCAGCTCTGCTAATAGTTTGTTTACTTGACAGGGCTTCCGTTACAAGATGAGGTCTGTGTATGCTCACTTCCCCATCAACGTTGTTATTCAGGAGAATGGTTCTCTTGTTGAAATCCGAAATTTCTTGGGTGAGAAATACATCCGCAGGGTTCGGATGAGGCCAGGTATGTGCATACCTTTTAGGTACGGTTTAGAAATGTTTACTTGTGAAGATATGTTTTGGGTTGGCTATAAATCCATGTTTACTTCAGAATTGTCCATTTTGATTATGCTTGTAATAACTCTTGGTGTTAAGGTTTTATATCATATTCGTACTGATTGTGATTCTTAAAGGCTTATGCATTGGAGTAGTTTCAGGAGGTGTTAGCTGTGTTTAATTCTCTTTGCAAACTGAGATCCTAAAAAAAAGAAAGTGTGAATAGTGGTTAATAACATAGACTGCCTAGGGGCGCCTGGGTGGCTCAGTCATTAAGTGTCTGCGGCTCAGGTCATGATTGGCGGGAAACCTAGTTCTCCCTCTCTCACTCCCCCTGCTTGTGTTCCCTCTCTCTCGCTGTGTCTCTCTCTGTCAAATAAATAAAATCTTAAAAAAAAAAAATAGACTGCCTAGGTTCAAATCTCAGTCTCCTACCATCCTTGGGCAAATCATCTACCTCTCTAGCTCATTTTACTCATCTAAAATTGGGAACATCTCATGGTTAAATGAGTTAAAATACACTTGGAACAGTTCTTGATAACATAGTAAACAACCACATTTTGTTTTTAATCTTTTTTAGATATTAGAAAGTTGTATTTATTTAAAAAAATTTTAATCTCCACACAATCCCGAGATCAAGAGTCAACATGCTCCACTGACTAAGCCAGCCAGGTGCCCCAACGTTAGAAAGTTTTAGAGCTTAGTGCTCTCTTGATGCTTGATTCCATTGGGGTGAGAAGAAAGAATTCTTAGTACCATTTAATGAGTTTACAAAAATACTATGTGGTATTAGCTATGGTTAACAGCATTTAATGGGAACCCTTATATAAAAAAAGAAACTTCAGAGGTACCAAATCTATAGAGTCCTAGGAATAAGACTTGATAAGAAAGCTGTGAACAGCTAAATTGCATTAGCTGAATTACTGTCTTCTCACTCCTTGACTGAATCACTGAAAGTCTTAACTACTCTGGAACAGATTCATTCAAGCAGGAACACAAGATTTTGCCCAGATTAAGTTAGGTCCTGTAAAATCAGAATCTCAGAAGTTTCATTTGTTTTGTGGAATTGTAAATGGAATAAAGTGCTACTTTAATAAATTATATTGTACAAATTTGATTTTATTTTTACACTATGTGAATGCCTTCTCCCTTTTTTAGGTGTTGCTTGTTCTGTATCTCAAGCCCAAAAAGATGAGTTAATTCTTGAAGGAAATGACATTGAACTTGTATCGAACTCAGGTTTGTATGTTTACTATGCCTAATTATGCCTATAAAATTTTGTTTAAATCTTGTAGTTGAATACATTGTGTTCTTATTTGGTGAGCTTTTTCATTTGTGGAATTAAGTAAAAGACTACCCCAAAGATAATAGGCTTTAAGTATGGCATGTAATAAAATCCTTTTATTTTAAAATGAGTTCGGCTGGTAATGTAGTTTCCTTATCTTTTTTACTGTTAATAGCTGCTTTGATTCAGCAAGCCACAACCGTTAAAAACAAGGATATCAGAAAATTTTTGGATGGTATCTATGTTTCTGAAAAAGGAACAGTTCAGCAGGCTGATGAATAAGATCTGAGGTAGGTTCTTGCAGTGTCTGTAAGTTTCCTTACTGCTTTAGTTTCAGAGGTCTTAATTTATTAAGTCTGAAACTGGAGTTGTAATGGCAGAAAATGAGTTACATTCTGGAACACAGTAAATGGCAGAATAAGAATAGTGACATGCATTTTTACTATGAACTAGTAAGTCAGAATCCTAAACTTGTTTTAAGATTATTTAGAGTAGAACTTGTTTTGGAGGGTATTGGTGGGAATTGACAGATCTTTTTATTTCTTTTTACAGTTGTCATCTACAGAAACAGCAAAAGATGCCGGGTGATTTTTCAGACTTGTGATATTTTAAATATGCAATAAAAGCTATACTGATTTGGGCCTTTTTCTTTCTTTTTTTAAAGATTTTATTTATTTGGGGGAGACCGTGTGAGAGAGCGAGTGAGGGGGAAGGGGCAAAAAGGGAGGGAGAAGCAGGCCCCGCGGAGCAGGGGGCCCGGTGTGGGGCTCCATCCCAGGCCCCCGGGGTCACGACCCGAGAAGGCAGGCGCTTAACCCACTGAGCCACCCAGGCGCCCCTGGGGCTTTTTCTTAAACCAGTAATCCTTTCCAACTATGAGGCAGTTAAACCATTCAGAAGCAAATTGCAGTGTGCCAAGAACAGTAACAAGGAATAAAACAGGAGTTTTTTCTGGTAAAACTTAATGGGAAAATTGGCTTGAATTTGGTTTTTTGAAGGAATATCAAGGGCATTTCAGGCAAGAGAAATATAGTACGAGTGACAGCACCATGTGACTGTTCATCATTAGATGTAGAACTTTTGGGAGAGATCCTGAGGGTATCTGATTTTGCAGAGGCATAAAT